TATATACTTGAAGAATGTCCAAGGTCGTCTTTACAAAGTTATAAAGAAAGTAAGTGATAAACTTACATCAGTAGAATTGGGTGTAAGATCCAGTCTCTCGACGTTGCTTATCCCTGTAAGCAGACCCGTAATACGCGGCTTCTCGGTCTTTTTAGAATAACGAAGATCCAGCCTAGCTTCGACTAGGGACTGCAAGTCAGCATATGTGTACTCGGACAAGGCATAATCGGAGTAATCCAAAGAGACAAGACTCGGTGCTTCAAACGACATTTCACACTTAAAATCAATTTCAGAGACGCAACCATAGTGAACTGATAGTTTCTTGATGGTCTGACTCGATATGTATGTTGGGATTCCATTGTAATCCTCGTGACGTATAGATAACTCCTCGAGCACTGGACAACCAGGAAGAAGCTTAAAATACATATCGTCTTCTTCAAAATAGATCGAGTCGATGGTGAGAGTCTTAAGAGATGGAAGAGACACAACTTGAGGAAGCTTCCCAAGATAGATCCGTGTTCCTAATGTCAGTTTAACAAGTGTCTTGCTCGTGAAGAGCTCAGAAGGTAGAAAGATTATACATAGAAGAACGAGGTTGTTCATAGCTAATCTTTATATTTAGGTCAAGCTCCGATACATTGCGCTCTACAGCATTAGAAATCCAGAGGCACACGTAACCTAACTCGCTTTCTTTCTCAATGTTGTATTTTAGTGAGAATTTCTTGATGTTAGACTCGGATTGCTAAGCGAGTGTTCTGTTTAGATAATTTGTGAAACTCTTTCTTGTCTTAGTTTGGAGATCGATAGCTTCTTCGATCTCAAACCAGTCATCATCGGAGCACTTCAAAGCAGTCTTCACTGACGTCGACATCTTCTTCGTGGGGCGATTTTCTTTGGAAACAATCGATGAAAAGATTTTGGAAACCAGAGAGAAAGATTGATAGTGAAGTTATGTATCTATAAGCCCTAATTTTCAGAGTCCGTTGCGAGCAACATTTCCTTTTTTTTTTTGTCAGCGGGAAACATTTCCTGTTTTTTGCCTCGCCGAATCAATAATTCCTTTTTAAAATAAGTAAAATAGTTGTTAGTAAAAAATTTCGACCAAAGAAAAAAAAAAGTTGTTTGTAAAATAAGGTGATCTCAGTTGAGTAAATTAATTTAAACCGGCTTCTCAATGGATTAGATTTGACAATAGGCCTAATTTTCTAGGTTCGGCCCAAAAGTTTGTCAAAATGGGATCTACGTGTAGAAATGAACGGCTCCGATACAAAAACGGATAAACTCTGTTATATTTAGTACTTGATCACGTGACTTCAAAAAGACAAAAACGAAACGACCAAAGTTCTTTCTTCACACGTTGTATAACTTATAACATTATCAATTTTCTTCTAGAGAAATTGGACCAAATAACCAAAAAAAAAAAAGTTATCTTAAAATCTAACCAAAACTATTATGGGTCTGACTGGTAGCATGTAGTATCGAATTTGAGTTGCAGTAGATGTTATAATTTGATGTTAATTTGCAGTAAAAATATGTGGTAAAAACTGTAGATTTATGTAGTGAGTTTGCTGTAGAAATACAAATTAACATTTTAATCAATACAGTTGACTGGTGACTTT